GATGCGGCATGTTGGGTCTGTGGTATCTGGAGCATGGGAGAAGTAGAGTTGTGTGTCATCAGCGTAACAATGATACCTTAGGCCATGTCACCTCATGATGTCCCCCAGTGGTAGCAAGCAAATTGCGAATAGCATGGTAGACAAGATGTGGAACTCTGCAGGCCAGTTCGTTGGTGGCGATGAGCTTGATCCTGATGTTACATCTGAAACCTGACTGGAAAGGATCAGAGATGTTCAAACTTGATAGATGGGCCTCCAGTTGAGTTGCCACTACTTTTTCAATTATTTTCCGGAGAAATAGAAGTTTGGATACTGGTTTGTAATTACCCATGCAGTCTGGGTCTAATAAAGGTTTGTTTAGGAGTGGTTATACCACAGCATATTTAAGAGGATCTGGGAAGTCTCCAGTTTTTAGTAAACACTGCACTATTTTTGTGAGGGCTGGGGCGAGTGTTTCAATGCATGCAGATATAAGCTGAGTTGAAGAAGGGTCTACTTTTGCAAGGTTCTTTTTTTTAAATTATTATTCTTTATTTTATTTTTGCATATGGTAAACAAGCAGATTTGCACCGCCACAATAGCTGGTGCAAACAGAGATTTAGACATACGAGTACATTGGTGTGGCAGCAAGAAAATTGCACATTTTTTAAAACAAAGTTAATAAACAAAAGGAAAAAGGAAGCCTACATGTTATGTCAGTATACAGTAATTACTCGGCTGGATGTGGGGTGGCATATAGGTGTGAGGGTTATGGGTGTAGCAGATGAATTGTGGTATTTGATTTTGGTGATCTACTGAATGTGGGAGAGACAATCATGTTCATAAGTGTGGAACTATTTCTGCATTCGCTATTCCAGGATGATAAACAATGCCCTATTTTAAATGTTACAATAAATGCTGGTTTGAGCTGGTGCGTAAGGGGGAAATATTGGTGGATGATATGCAAAGCGTTTTTTTGATGTCGGGTATTATTATGTGGTCGTGTTGTTGTGTGTAGAAGTATTGTAGGTGTTGGAGCTCTATTTCCTTGAGCTAAGGCCGGGTGTGGGGTGGGTGCAGGTGGTATCCACCTCAGCTGGACTTGTTTAGCTTAGCTGGGTGCTGACATTACTTTAATGAGGGTGCAACGTGAGCAATCATAGTTGACAAAAGGGGTAATTGTTGAAATGTCCCATGTTGTGGCGGATCCCCTGTTAGGGCTGAAGATGCCCAAGGACTGCAGGAAGGTGGCTGAGTTAGCCATGTTGGTGAGCCTTGTTGTGTTGCCCTCTTTAGTGGCCGAGAGTGAGTGAGCTGTCCCCCATCAATACGGGATGTTGGCTGCCCCGGAGTAGCTTTGTGATGGGCACATAGGCTCGGCGCCATTCCAGTGTCGACTGGCAGAGGTCTTAGAAACATAGAAACATAAAATGTGACGGCAGATAAGAACCATTCGGCCCATCTAGTCTGCCCAATTTTCTATATACTTTTATTAGGCCCTGGCCTTATCTTATAGTTAGGATAGTCTTATGCCTATCCCACGCATGCTTAAACTCCTTTACTGTGTTAACCTCTACCACTTCAGCTGGAAGGCTATTCCATGCATCCACTACCCTCTCAGTAAAGTAATACTTCCTGATATTATTTTTAAACCTTTGTCCCTCTAATTTAAGACTATGTCCTCTTGTTGTGGTAGTTTTTCTTGTTTTAAATATGGTCTCCTCCTTTACTGTGTCTCCAGTACTGTGTACAATACTCCAAGTGAGGTCTCACCAGTGTTCTGTACAATGGCATGAGCACTTCCCTCTTTCTACTGCTAATACCTCTCCCTATACAACCAAGCATTCTGCTAGCATTTCCTGCTGCTCTATTACATTGTCTGCCTACCTTTAAGTCATCAGAAATAATCACCCCTAAATCCCTTTCCTCATATGTTGAGGTTAGGACTCTATCAAATATTCTGTACTCTGCCCTTGGGTTTTTACGTCCAAGATGCATTATCTTGCACTTATCCACATTAAATGTCAGTTGCCACAATTCTGACAATTTTTCTAGTTTACCTAAATCATTTGCCATTTGTTTTATCCCTCCTGGAACATCAACCCTGTTACATATCTTAGTATCATCAGCAAAAAGACATACCTTACCATCAAGACCTTCTGCAATATCACTAATAAAAATATTAAAGAGAATGGGTCCAAGTACAGATCCCTGAGGTACCCCACTGGTGACAAGTCCAAGCTTCGAATATATTCCATTAACTACAACCCTCTGTTGCCTGTCACTCAGCCACTGCCTTACCCATTCAACAATATTGGAATCCAAACTTAAAGATTGCAGTGTACTGATAAGCCTTCTATGTGCAACAGTGTCAAAAGCCTTACTGAAATCTAGGTAAGCAATGTCTACTGCACCACCCTGATCTATTATTTTAGCTACCCAATCAAAAAAATCAATAAGATTAGTTTGGCATGATCTCCCTGAAGTAAACCCATGTTGTCTCTGATCTTGAAATCCATGTGTTTTTAGATTTTCAACAATCCTATCCTTTAACATGGTTTCCATCACTTTCCCCACTACTGAAGTAAGGCTTACTGGTCTATAGTTGCCCGACTCCCCCCTACTACCTTTCTTGTGAATGGGCACAACATATGCTAACTTCCAATCTTCTGGGACTACTCCTGTTAACAATAATTGGTTAAATAAATCTGTTATTGGTTTTGCTAGTACACCACTAAGCTCTTTTAATAGCTTTGGGTGTTTTCCATCAGGTCCCATTGACTTATTTGTCTTTACTTTTGACAGTTGAAATAGAACCTCTTCCTCTGTAAACTCACGTGTAATAAATGACTAATTTTTCCTTTTTCTTAACTGAGGTCCCTTTCCTTCATTTTCATCTGTAAATACAGAACAAAAATATTCATTGAGGCAGTCAGCTAGACCTTTATCCTCTTCTATATACCTTCCTTCTTTTGTTTTTAATCTAACTAATCCTTGTTTTACTTTTCTTTTCTTATTTATGTATCTAAAAAAAGTTTTGTCTCCCTTTTTTACTGATTGTGCTATTTTCTCTTCTGTGTGTGATTTTGAAACTCTTATAACTTGCTTAGCCTCTTTCTGCCTAATCTTATAGATCATTCTGTCTTCCTCACTCTGTTTTTTTTTATAATTACTAAATGCTAACTTTTAGTTTTTCACTATTTTGGCCACATCTGCGGAGTACCACAGTGGTTTCTTGAATTTTTTGCTTTTACTGACAAGCCTAATACAATTTTCTGTTGCCTTCAGTAGTGCAACTTTTAAATAATCCCATTTCTCTTGGAGTCCATTTAAATTGCTCCAGTCTGATAATGACTCCTCTACACATATTCTAATTTTAGAAAAGTCTGTTATTCTAAAGTCTAAAACTTTTGTTTTTGTGTGGTGTGACTCATTCACTGTTCTTAAACCACCATATTAAACCACACTGACTGATGATCACTGGATCCTAAACTTTCACCTACAGTAATATCTGATACCAAATCTCCATTTGTTAACACTAAATCTAGTATGGCCTCTTTACAAGTTGGCTCCTCAACGACTTGTTTTAGAGACAATCCCAGTAGGGAGTTTAGAATATGTGTGCTCCTGGCACAAGCAGCTATTTTTGTTTTACAATTTACACCAGGAAGATTAAAGTCACCCATGATGATAACTTCCCCCTTCATTGTCATTTTAGCTAGTTCCTCAACTAGTAGATTATCTAACTCTTCTATTTGTCCTGGGGGCCTATAAATCACACCTACACGAGTTACTGTGTGATTACGAAATTCTAACTTAACCCAAATGGACTCTATGTTTGCCTCACTAACTTTTATTAGGCTTGAATTTATGCTATCCTTCACATACAGGGCCACCCCTCGCCCTTTCTTGCCTTCCCTGTCTTTTCTATATAAAGAGTACCCTGGTATTGCTATGTCCCACTCATTTTTCTCATTGTACCACGTCTCAGTAACAGCGACTAAATCTACACTATCAGTTGCCATTATTGCCACAAGTTCATGGATCTTATTCCCTAAACTGCGAGCATTTGTAGACATGACTCTAAGCTTATAATTTTTTAACACACTTGCTACAGGCACCTTCTGTCCTTGTTTTGGGGGACTATTGGATTGATGTTTTATCACCCTTTTGCCCCCCTCCTAGTTTAAATACAGCCTAGCAAAACCTCTGACCTGGTTACTGAGAACATTTGTTCCCTTTTGAGAAAGATGCAAACCATTTTGTTTGTACTGGTTATTTCCATTCCATACAGAGCTACCATGAGAAATAAAGCCAAATCCTTGCTCCCGACACCATTCACCAAGCCACAAATTAAAGTCCCTAATACGCATCCGCCTGTCGTTCTGAGTGTTATGCACAGGCAGAAGTTCAGAGAATGACAGTGTGGAAGCAACCTGCCGTATATCATTGGCAAAAACACTAAAAACTTCCTTAACCTCTGAAACCTCATTGCAAGCCAAGTCATTTGTCCCTAGATGGACAAGTACATCCAATTCCCCTTCCTGGTTTGCTCGCTTAACAATATTACAGATACGTCTCCTGTATCTGTGAGCAGTAGCTCAGGGAATTGGATGTAGAGATGTGAGGCTTGAGGTCTTGAAATGTAGGGGTGACTGCGTTCACAGTGTCTCCATCACCTGCTTTTTGTCGCTGAATGACGAGAAGCGTATCAGCACATCTCTAGATACACCTGCTGGTTCTTTAGTCGAGGTAGGTAGTCAGTGACAGCTTTCAATTAGCAATGATTTGACTTGTCGTTGGGGTAGGATAGTTGCCAGAAATATTCTAACGAAGTGCGGTAGTTCTTCGTCCTGCACCGTTTCGGCGATGCCCCTGAGCTTTAGGTTTTTGCTTCTGCGGTAATCATCAAGGGCATCTAGGTGATTAGCAAGTTTTTGCTGAGAGGCCTGTAGTTGGGCCATGTGTTCTGCGGTACTTAGCTGCCTCTGAGCCATTGAAGTGTTATCTTCCTCCAGTACTTAAATCCTGGCTGTCACTGCCGTTATTTCTTCCCTAACCACATTGAGGTCAGAGTTGAAGAATGCCCTTATGTTTTTCATCAGCTCCAGTATGTCCCCATTGGTGGCTGGGGTGTCGAGGTCTTCTGTAGACTGGGGTGTATTAAGGGACCATGTTTCTGAGATGGTGTATGGGGCATCTAGCAGTTCATCCTCTGATGATTTGGAGGTGTCAATCTCCCGCCGCGCCACCATCTTGAGCCTAGTTCCTCGCTACAAAATATCGCTGATGTCGCGGGTTCTCATGCCTGACAGGACTTTGAGCATCTTGTGCCTCTTCCCCATACCTTCTGTGAGATGTCAGGCCGGTAAGTTGGGTGTGTGGTTGGAGAGAAACGGTATTTGTATAGATATCGGCTCTGCATCGTAGGAGCTCACACGCCATGCGACTGCTCTCCTTGCAGTCCAAGCCACGCCAACTGCATGGTTCTTTTCACTTTATGTCCACATTTGTAAAAATGGACCATAAACTGGGGCAATCTGACATTCCATTGTAGTGGTTCTGGTGTTTAACTGTTGGGCCTGCTGTGATAGAGGTTCGGATTGAGGAAATCTTTTCTCTGAAGAAGATTGCAAATGCTGCAAATGTTAAATCATGTATTCAATTCCAATAGGAGCAGTTTGCATTAAAGTGAACTTGCCATCACTTGCCTTTCTCTAGCTATAAAACTGGTTTCTAAAGTTACTCTAGATCTGACCCTTTTTTGCCCAGGACATATTATCCAATCAAATGTTTTGCATAGATCTACATAATCAACCAATCCAGTGCATATGTAGAGAAATAACAGGCGCTGCAGTATCAAAATATTACAAAATTCTAATAACTTTTATAATATTAAATTATTTAAAAATTTAATGCAAAAATATGAAATCATACTGCATAAGATAAAATAGAACATCCTTTTTGGTGCCGTGATGACGTGAGTACGTAAGCACGTCGAGAGGCGGTTCTAGGAGGAGTACGTGAGGCGCGGAAGGGGAAGGTGAGGGGAGGCGAGGTCCGATGGTGTGGACGAAGTAGTCGGCGTCGAGGAGAAAATTTGGATGTGAGGGCAGAGCGGGTTTCGAAGTGAGGACAGTACCCCAGTGTGTGTCCAGAGCTCAGAGCCTAGAGTGGATCCAGAGAGATCCTGACATATTCAGGATTATTTAAACGCAACAGCATAAGACGGCTTACTCCACGAGGCTGGAGGCAGAAAACCGAAGAATCAAAGGGGGCTAAAAGAAGTCCTTAAAACGGGAGAGTAAACTACGGCTTAAAGATAAGTGCAAAGATAAGTGCATGAGAAATTTATTGAGAAACCCTACGGAGAAAGCTGTGAAGAAGCCTGTTTTATATG